TTTTTTTTTTTCATCTTTTTGATCTTTGAAGTCAAAAGCAGACCAAAGTTGAAAAAGTTTACTTAAATAAACCAAAGAGAAGAAGTATTTTGTATTTCGTCTGCTAAATAATATAAACCGTTTTCTTTTTATAAACTAACTGTTTGCTGCTTCTACAAAGATAAATTAAATAACCGATTCTAACAGACACTGAAACTTACCTATGTTCAACTACCGGTTTAGAAATTTGTGATTATAAATAAACAAATAAAGCATAAATGTGAAAATTAAACAGTCAGCAATTTTTGCTCAGTACTGACGTCAGAAGAGTGTAAAAAGAAAGAAAGAAGTAGTTGCTCAAAACAGAGAGTTATTCTAATAAAATAGACAATTCTTTCTGTTTCTGCTCTAGAAGGTTATAAGAGGGGTACTGATAGCATATTTTTTTTTTTGATCAAACGGTGAAAAAGTGTATTTCTACTTTACTGAACATCTTTGGACTTTTTTTTTTGTAAAGAATATGACCTTTAGTGAATAGTGAATAGTGAATACAAGTGTTGAGATAAGTAAAAGTTCTTTTTTTTTTTTTTTTTGAAAATAACCTGAATAAATGTTTTATTGTTCACTGTGATGTTTCTCCGTTGTTGGCACTGCTGAGCAATCAGATAAAAGATAGCAACTGAAGATATCCTGGATTGATTTCTTCCATAAGTATCTGCTTTTTTTATCTTTATTGTCTGTTTTCAAGAGTTGCTTTTTTAAGTTATTACATTCAATTAATCGGTACAGAGGATTATAAATCAAACTCTGAATTGAGATTTTTATTACTAAATGAACAACTTGCAAATTTTTTTTAGTCAAACAGATATTATTATTCTTTTCTGAGAAATGGAGTTAATTGTAAAATTGTAACAAGTATCCAAATACAATTTTTTTCAATTTTTTAAAACAAATTATGATAATTGCTAAAATAGCTTTTGAATTTTTTCTTTTATAGTAACTATACAATAATTATATAACAGTTTATTAAATGCAATTATTATACTATATCTAATAGTATATAATGCGAAGTGTAACTATCAGATGTGCTCTACAAAACGTTATTCAAAAACAGCATATGAGATCAAAGATAAAATAGATAAACGATGAAAAAATAAACTGAATTCCAACCGTTGTTTAGCAGACAATTAAACTCTGCTTAACTGTTCTGCTTTTTTTCAACGAGAAACTGTTTAAGTTTAAGTAAATAAACTTTTTAGAATCACTAATGTGAAAAAAATCAAAAGGTTCAGCAATAAAAAATTACAAGTGTCTTTTTTCGTTATTTTTTATATTTGTCCTCTCTGCAAATGCACCTTTTGAAAAGCAGAATATTTAAGAAATTTTAAAATTTTTTATTGTTTCATCAGTTAATTAAAGCACTTTTTACTGCATTTGTGAATTTGTCAATTTTTTCTTCCTATATGATTCTTCTATTTCAAGTAAATTTCAATAGGAAACTTTGAACAGAACTGTTGGCAAACCAGAATGCAACGTCTGTTCGCTCAGTTAATTCTTCCAATTTTTCAACTTTCCACCATAAACATCTCAACACTTTTTCAGAAAACTAAATTTTT